TTTATTTTGATATAAAACTATTATCTTTAGATTCAACCAATTCACCTTATTTATTGGATAAACTTGTTATTTTATAATTACTAACTTTAATAATCATTTTTCCGGTTTCATCTAATATCAATAGGTATATTATAATATTATTATACTCTAATACAGAAGTGCCAGGAGCTGTTTTTTTTTTTAAATGTGTTGATTTATATGTTTGATTTAAAACATCACGTAATTTATCAATTTATAATTTGGAAAATGTATTGCATTTACCATTGTAAAATCTTATTAAATACAACTTATTATACAAAATAATAAAAGAATAATAATTGTATTTTTCTTTTTTAAGTTTGAACAAATTATCAGGGAAAAAATATTTAAAAGTCCTTCTTTAAAAATATAGTAAATATTATTATTATGTCATAAAATAACTATCGTTTTGGGTCTAAATTAAATTCTGAATACCATATTGGAAGTACGAAAAAATGATAATGGGTTACCAACACATTATTTTTTATCTTTTTAGATGAATAATTAACTAATTAAATTTGTACGAAACTTTATTTGATGAAGCAATTTTACAAATTATTACAAAAAATATGTATCAATAATAAAAAAAAGAAAAAATGGAGGATAGCATGCTAAAGACAGTCCTACGCCTGTTGAAATGAAAAGGAAAATGCTGGTCCAAACGAGCTCTATATAACTAATATTTTTTTTAGCCCAAACGGATTGTGTTTCAGAAATACTCATCTACTTTGTGAACTTTGTAATAATTTGTATTTTAAAAATCGTTTTATTTATAGTCAGTGATGAAAATCGCTTCGGTCTTGAATATTATTTCATATATCCTATAATACCGTAATGTCGATAAGATAAGAGTTCGTTAAACGGAATATTAGTATAGAACTCCCCTTTATTTATATTAGTCCAACGATTCGCGGTCGCAAAGGCCACGGTTAGTGTGGTTGGGAATGGCTAAACAACTGCTCCGATTAAGCGGATAAGTTTCAGTATAAATATCGACAGCCCTTTACGCGTTTTTTTCGGAAACCAAGGAAGCGTGTTACTGTATTCTGTTATGGGATACACGCATTACATATTTCATAATAGAAATATTATGAAATATGAGCACCCATAAGTCAATATCGTAATTAAAAAAAAAAAATTCCCCCATAAATGAGCCACTGTAGGCACGTGCCTATAGTATCTGCATAAAAGTACCCGCACGAGTCACGAGTACAACTAAAAACAGTTGTTTCGTTTTGGAAATTATATAAAAACGTATGGGTGACGCTGCCAGTCAATTTTTTGCACCGCCTATTTGGTATACCATATATAAGTAATACCTATTAGGTATACTCGACACGATCAGGTTAATTAATGTTGTCCGTAACAGCTGTTGCTGTGATGGCTAATCGTGTTTATTATTTCCTCTTGAAATTAACAGTATTCGAATGAACCGCGGTTTTCGAAAAAACGCAATATTAAAATAATAATAATGTCTCGCGTTTCAAATACGAAATCGACGAAATTAAATATTATGTTTTTGTAAGTATATACCAAGGTGTACTTACTGCACGGTGTGTTTCCGTACGTATACAATAGTTATTCTGTAATTGTTACGGCCGAGGACAACTATATAATATAATAGTTATATAACAATAATTGTTATTAGGCGGTGTTGTGATAGTAAATCGATAGGTATAAACAGGGGTGAAAAAATATCGAGTTTCATTTTGAGTCATCGTTTATGTTACATACAGTAACAGTAAACTAGTAGACTTACTATAGTGAAATTCCATTTTTTTTTTTATTACAACATTTTTGCGTATTACGCAAGTTTAAACAAACGTTTTTAATACGGTTTTCGTACAGAGAGAAATATTTTGTCGTTTCACAATATAGTTCTAAGTAACCGTATAAATTTCGGTTTCAAAATACTTCTACATCAATAATATATTATAATTACTGTGTCCTGTGTTTTAGTTTTGATTTTTTCAAGTTATACTTATAAATACGGAAACACGGTGTTACTATACTGTTATAGTTATATTAATAGATGAAATTATCAAATACATAATATACAAACTGAACTCGTGATTGTGGAAAAACAGTTCGAAATAGATCCGAACCGTAGATTCGGGGTTCATTCAGGTACTATGATATAGCATACCGAGGGTCATTCGTGTCAGGAGACCCGAATTAGTGGAACTAGCGGTTTAGAGGGTTTTCGATTATTGGATAGGGGTATTTTATTATCAGCTTATTATTGCGAAATGTATGTTACGAAGTAAATATAACTTTGTTATGATTTCACCAAGTACTATGCAAATATCCATTTGCGGACTTCTGGCTTTTATTGGCTTTTAGTGGAATTGCCGTAACTTTCGTTTCGGGCGGGTGTTTCGGTTATTCAATGCCATTTTTTGTTTTGATTAAATGTAAAACGCAATATTAATAGCTTAGCTGATGTGGTTGTCGGTTATTTTTTTGTACAGTAGTTACGCAGCACGCAGACATTTTTCTTTTGGGAATTAACTTCCGAGGTTAATCTGATTTAAAATGTATATCTATAGCTATTTTCATAAAAGTCTCATAGGATCGTAAGTCTCATAATATTTAAAAAAAAAAAATTATAAATAACGGGGGTCAGAGATGATCAAGACAAATATTTCACCTCTGGTTTTATATCGTCCGAGTAAAACTATAGGTAGGTAAGTTAGCCTAACTTCACCTATTGTTAATTTTATAAATTTTAGTGCAACACAATTTTTAAACAATAATAATAGTGTATAATATGATAGCAATACGAATCGATAAAATATTCAATATCATCGCGCGGTTTTTCGAACGCAATCGATAATTTAATATTATTATTATCAAAATGGTTTTTTTTTTTTGTTGTTTTTCATAAACGGTTATTTGTTTATCAACACTGTAATAAATATTTATTGTTTATTGTTCCCCGAAAATTATACCTATAGGTAGTTGGATAGCTAAATCGTCCCCCTCCCCTCTCTCCGGTGCGCGTTGGTGGCCTCTTTGAACTGTTACCGCATAATAATAATAGTATGGCCGCCGCGCGCTATGATAGATAAGTGGTATTATCATCGTAACGAATTATCATCGATTTTGTATTTTACGGTTCCGCATGTCCGTCACTCGATCAGAACTTAATAAATTTATAGTAGCCACGCGTTGTTATTATTATAAATGTCAGCCGCCAATATACTGCTGCGATATTGGAATAATAATATCACAATGATTTCGGGGTCGGTGATTTCTATATTGTACGTGGGTTTTCTCACGAGGCGAACGGAATATTATTATTTTATTATCCGGAAACGGATTATAATAATAATAATAATAATAATAATAATAATATAAAACGAACGTTTTAATAATATTACCGTATATATCTATAATACACGCAAGCCCGGATTAAGGGGGAGGGGGGACAAGGGGGCTCCGAGGGCCAAAATATGTTCTTTATCTATACGCATTCAATCATTAACCTCGCGTTTCGATGTTTTATTACTTTTAATATTTTTCGTTGCCCGGCGTGATGTCTCATTGTGGTGAATGTACTATATTTTATGAACGTGTATATTTTATTTATTTGAACAATTCTTGTGGCTTTTGAATATTGAGATCTATTATATTATCTATTACGTATTATATGTGTTGTTTTTATTTTATTAAAACATATTTTGCAGTATCTTATTGAGAAAAAATGTTCAAGAAGTTTATCGATTCTGTACGTATTATAGCGAGGAATTTAACGGTTTTACTATGACGCGTCCTTGTTCATTTTTTTTTTATTTTATGCCTGTGAATAATTTTTTTTTATCAAAAATCGTTTTGGTTCTAGTCAATTGACTGATGAGGTCGTTTATTTGATTTTCAGTGTAGTTTTTTTAATAACTGAAGATAACCGGGACAAAAATTAAAAATTTTACGGCATAACAGTTTCATTATTTTTGATCTTGGTTTTTTTAGAGACCTGTAATTTGTATGGAATACTTATATAGTTAAATTATACGCATTTATTTAAACTTATATGAACCGCTTTATGCAAAATGGTCTAAGTTTTATCAAAAACTTGATTATTACAGATTCGTGATCATTTTACTTAGACACGTATATTCATGTTAAAATGGCTTTAGTCCCATTACTAGAACCATTTGTATAATTTTAGGTTAAATCGCGGATAGTATTACGCGAAAATATTTAAACGGTGATAATAAATTAAATAAATAATGTTTCTTTTTTGATTATTTTTTTGTTTTAAAAGTTTTATACATTGTTAATACAATTATTAATTTATAATTTAAAAGTAATATTTTATTTCATTGTTACTTTTTAACTTAAGGGTTTATTTTGTTGTTTTTAAAGTTAATAACAGTTGTTTTATGATAAAATTGTTGTTTTTATTATTTTTATGTCATGAACTAAAACGTTTGAAATAAATCAAATACATAAAATTATTGATTTTTGTAAAAAGGGTCTGAGTCCACTATACTTAAACGCTAATAATATGGACTGCATTTGAAAATAATAATATTGTTTTACAGAATGTAATTTTACTGTTTAATATCTATTGACTTTGATAGAGTCCTTTATATGTTTATACATTTTGAAACATATCAAAAGTATTTTTCATTTTTCCAAAAGTTTAAAGTTAACAATCGAGGTCTTTCTTGCATGAAGCTGTTCATATTATTTAGACGTGGGAAATTTTTGCGATTTTTGAGCTATTTATAAACATTTTAGTGAGAAAAATGTATGGCCTGGTATACAATAATGATCTAAGAAGTTTTCAAAAACAGAACAAATGAACGCCTGCACAGATGTACGATAAGCAAAGTTGACGGTAATTTTTAGTCAAAAAGAGATTGGGATGAGCTGGTTACGTCTAGCGAGCAGATAATTTACTCATTAGGAGAACCACGAAAAACAAGTTAACAGAGAAAGATCATGAGGTAGGCATCGACAGAGATGGTACGATTATGATAGAAAAAGACCTGGAGAAAGTCAGTCCATCGCTGAACATGGAAGTAGCATTAGATAGAGATATGGTAGAGCGTGATGAAAATGGCGATGGCGATGGTTTTAAATGGACCACTATAAGCCTAAGAAGAACAACAAAAACTTCATGTATAATTGAACTTTGCTCAGAATCACAATGGTTTATCGTTGCTTACAAATATAAATTAAAAAATTGTATGTATCCTACCTCCTCACCATCCTAATTAAAACAGTAGTATATCTATCAGCAGTATCAGTTTTTTTTTTTATGTAATTATTATTGTTTTTTTTTCAGGGCCTCTTAAAAAAGGCCTTGGACCAGGGGCTGCTAATTGTCTTAACTCATAATTTAAGCTTGATCCCACGCTTCATACTGTAGGGCGTTTATGATTTTTACATTTTAAAACAAACTCGTCAATCCCCCCCCTCCCTTGCCTTCTATTTACGTGAGTATAATCATATTTTAAACATTTTATTTATTTTCCTTTTGTCTTCTTCTAAATCGGAGACGTAACCAATACCTTTTCCGTCCTAGTGGCGCCACTGATTAAAATTGACAAACAATAAATTAATATTAACCAAGAATATAACTCAAATATTAAAAACATATTTCACTTAAAATTAAACGAATACTCGTATAAATCTACTATTTAATACTACGAAAAATGTAATAAATTTCAACAAACATTCTTCCAGGAAAATACTCAAGCTCAAAGGAATGGACGGCGTACCTATATTTGTTTAAATAAAAGATAATTACTTAAGAAAACAACAAACATAAAATTACAGGTCACGCGTTATATTATCGTATTCCTGGATAGTCTGCCTCGTGTTCTAAACAGAACAAAAACTGTTTTGTTATGTTTTTTTACTTTGTTGGACGCAGTATATAGAAGCATATACATCGATGAAAAAATAAAAATAAAACGTTAAAAAATTAAAAAAGACGTCCTAGAATAATGAGGACGAGTGCATCCAGTACTGTTATAGATAACTTAATGTATACCTGTAAGCAACGATAAACTATTGCTTATGAAAAAACGATTCTGAGCGGAGTTCAGTTGATAGTGACGCTTTGTCAGCAATTTATATGTCACTTTGTAATAAAATAATTAAATAGGCCTTATATATTTTCTTGAATATTATTTGTTTAATTTTGTACCGATTTTCCCAATTTCCCCACGTTTTTCCCGTTATTCTCATGTTTTATCTCGGTTTTTCACATTTGCTGGGAAAAATCTTGAGAAAATCGAAAAATGACTTCCCTAAAATACCTTCCCACACTGATTTACTTTCGAAAAAGATGCTACGCTTAGAAATCCGAGCAGGTGTTCTGGTAGAAAAGTTGTGCACAGAGGTATAAAAAAAAAATAAATAAATAAACATCTTTCTTTAAACCTTAAGCTTCCACCCTCCGTTCAGAACCTAAAATTAAAACCCGTGTGGCGAGAACAAAGTGAAAACCTTCTGGCAGTGAAAAAGTCGAACGGACCACCGATAACGGCGTATATGAAGGACAAGCGCTTGGGACTACATGTCAATATAATAATAGATACCCTTTGTAAATAACTACGCCCCCGGACGGTGTATTACAGGCAATAGTTAATATTGATTGCGTATAAATAAAACCACGAACGCATGATTGTATTTACATTATATTTTACAAGGGATTTCCCACGCGCGTTTATACTCGTGTCACAAGAAACAATGTTAAAATGACATACGGAAACGATCAATTTGTATTTATTTATTTTTATGCATTTAAATCAATTATCATTCGATCGTATTGATTTCGGCATCTTTTTCTCCGCCCGTCGTGTATCTAATTTCGCGAAAAACTGTAATTCTCGAAACCAATAATTACCGATCGTTAATTATTGCAATACGTGGGAAAACAATTTGATATTTTACCGCGAACGACACATTGTGCGTTTTAATTGTTCGTGGATCTTCTTTTTCCGCTTATCGGGTAGTTTTCGCAAAGATATCAGCTCTCGGAACCCTCAGCAGTGACCAATCAGAGTGATATAATAATAGGAGTCGGCCGGGTTTCGCGGTTTTTGAATCCGAGTCGAATCGAGCCGTGTTCCGAGCTAAGTCGAGTGCTAGGGAGCATACAGTTTTGTTGAATTTTATCGTTATTGCGAAGTTGTAAATGGTTCTATACTCTTATACGTATGGATACTCTGCTGTGGCGCGCACAAAAGAACATGCCCCGCGCATCAACCGACTTCTCGATAAAGGTAGAGGGACAGGACCTGTTTGGGCCAATTTTCCTGAAACTCAACCCGTTTGGACCAGTGCTGCTCGACGACAGCCGATGTACAGACGTGTACGCAATGGCGTGCCTAGGGGGGGAGAGACTAGTGATTATACCCCCCCCCCTGTTAGCTTAAAAATACAACAAAATATGAGTAATCTAATCTATATCTAAACTAACTCGTAAATTTCCGCCGAGAAAAAGCTTGTTGTATTGATCAGAAATTGGCTTTTTTTTTTGTAGGATCCGGCTTTTAAATTACCAATTCCTATAATCGAGTTGGGTAGAGAAGACGGTTTTACTCTTTTTTCACGATTTTTATTTGTGACATCCCCTCCTGTTGAAAATGCCCGGGCACGCCATTACCGTGTGCGCACATTTATTTTTCGTTTTCGATAAAAACGTTCGATTACAGCAGTCGAGTCGAGTATATCCGAATGAATTCGAGTAGGTACTCGAGTGACGAGTACCGAATAAAATTGTTTCGAGTCGAGTACCGGCCGACCGACTCCGGACTGATAAACAATAATCACTTTCCTACCGCGTAAATTCGTGTCGTTACCGCAGTAAATATTATCGCACAATATCACCGCGACCGTTACCGCGACAGCTGACAAAATGTGTACGTCAGATATCGGAACAGTTCACGTCGTCCAGGTGTGCAGAAGCCGCCCGTGTTCGGGTTCGGTGTTGATACCAGACGCCATTAGGGTAAACGTGCCTACATACAACGCGAATCATGCAAGTCCCCGAAGGGGAGGCGATGGGGGCGAATGCCCCCACCCCCATGAGCCGTGTGATGTTTCGTTTTCGTTTTACAAAATGTCCGTAATTCTTAAGTATACGTTTTGTTTTTTTTTTTTTTTACGATATAATTTTGTTCATTTTCTTTTGTACGTAAAAATATTCATATATTATTCATTGATGTGTGAAACAAATTTGTATTTGGATTTCTCAAGAATAACCAATAAAAAGTATGCATTTTCTAGAACTTCCGAGCCCTGTTTATTACGTATTTTATAATATGTACACATTCTACATCAGTATAAAAATATATTCGTGAAATCGTGTGCATTTTTTATTATTCTGGTTTCTGTGTATGCATTAGTGTTTTGCATTTTGTTTATTATTATTATTATTATCATTTATATAATGTGAAAAGAATAAATTTAACTTTTAAATTCTACCGTTTTATTGCATTATTGTACGATATATCTGCAGTTTTCTATAAGCTAATATAAGTTGAAATTACGACAAACATATAATAGGTTTTAAGTTTTTGTTGACCAAAGCGGTATTCAAGAGTACAATATTTTCTCGCTTTCCCCCACCCCCTCCATGGAATTGACCTGAAGATGCCTCAAACACCTTACAAACACTTACCCCAGTCGCGGATTCAGGGACGGGGGAGGGGGGAAACGGGGTCATTTGCCCCTTCCCTCGAACACCGTAATATAAAATATTATTTCCTCGTACTGCGGCAGGAGCGTCATTTCACGTTTTTTCGCGGGATGCAAAACGAATATTGAAAAATTTCAATAGCAAAGCCATTCGCTTTTATCGCGTACTACATAGAGGACAAAATGAATTCATTTCCGTGTAAAATTTAATTTTCAATTATACTATAACATTTTGATATTATTAATTATTGATAATACTTACAATATTGCAAAACTTATTTTAGTATATCCTAGTATAGATATTTTAAATAAACATAAACTAATATCGAGTACGAAGAAAGTTACTCATTAATACTGTTAATATATATTGTACAAACTATACTCATCAGTGTATAGGTATAGAAAATATTATATTTGTTTAAATAATAATAAAATTAATAAAATTCACCGCTCCGTAATGTATTACCAATATATATTCTTATATATTATTTATGCTGTGTTTATGTCTTTGATACTGCAGATAAAATTAAATTTGATAAAAAAATTTAAAAAATGGTCAATAACGAAATCGGCGTTAATCCATAAAGATATTAAACTTCAGTTCGATATCTATCTATGTAATAATTGTGATAAAACCGCAAAAACATTTTTCATTAAATTTATTAAAAAATTATCGTGTTATTCTGAAAATGCTATAAATAATCATCTGCATCTATACATATATTATTTTAAACGTGTTAAAAGAAATTCATGGGATGCATTTGCACACCCTTGCGTGCCACAAACGACGCCACTATACTCTGGTAAAATATAAACCGGTTTTCATTGTTGTTAATGCCCCTTTCAAAAAAAAAAAAAAAAAAACTTTTAAGAGACTGACCCAGTCAAAGTTGTCGGAGTCTTCGTTAAATCGTTTCCGGTCACGTCGATTTATGTAAACGGCAAACAGTAAATAACTCGTTTGGCCTACGTTATTTGACTTATTTTTTTTGTTTACTAATTCAGTTAAAACCAGTGTCAAACTGTCAACTGAAAAGGTCTCGAACACTCGTTCGTTTATATTGTGTGCTTTTTTTTTTTTTTTTTGTTTTTTAGATTTAGTTGTTACCTAATTTGTATAAAACGCTTGTAGTGAGATTTAAAAAATATATATGTATACCGGAGCTTCGTCATTATAGAGTTGTAGAGTTGTTCTCCCTTTGGTTGACTTGCTGCCGTTACAATATTTTAATTTTAATGATAAGGAATTGTATAAAAAAAAATTTTATGGAAATAGTTAAAGCAGTTTTGCGACATTTTACCAACTGTCGGTGGGTTCGGGAATCAAAAGTTCAAACCTTTTAAAGGCACATCCTCGACAACAATTATTCTATTTATACATATACTCTTTAACCAAGTTACTTACTTTCGTAAGTCTGTAAGAATATTTTAAACCTTCTATTTCCTGTGAAAAAATGGAATCTGAGAATAAAAATATGGCTGTTGAAAGTTAAAAACACTAAAAATTACATCTATCATGATATTAGCACTATCCATATACAAAATTTCATCCCCTCCTGGCTTCATTCGGGAGTCTGTAAGGGCGTATAAAAAACTAAAAAACATTCTTTCTAAAAACTTCAAATTTTCAAAATTTTAATTTTTTAAAGTACGTACTTTTTAATATTGAAGATTATGTGTAGTCAGGTTTTTTTTATAAACTATTAATTTAGAAGTTACACAGTAATAATAAAACTGTATGACACTATATCTATATATAGCACCTATTATAATAAGAACAAATTGTGTTTTTGAAAAAAAAATTCAAACATTTTGGATTCAGCGTTCAAAAGTACAATATTTTGGAAAAGAAATTGTAAAAAAAAAAACTAAACGGACATACTTCGCAAAACGGATGGGTTACCATTGTAGGTTAGGTCAGATGTTGAGAGAATAAAAAAATGACCGCCCTACGAAAATTTGCTTTCAGAAAACATATCTAGTCTTGAAAATCAGAGCGAAGATTTTGCAGGTAGAAAAGTTGTTAACGTAAAAAAAAAAAAACGAAAATCGTTGTAAAACCAATAAACGATCCTCGCCCCGCTCAGAACCTATAGGGTGCCTATAGTGAAGTATAGACTTTTTCCATAAAGCCGGCCGTCGTCGTGGGTGCAGGGAATATCGCGTACCTTCCGAACCTCTCCGAAGTCCAAACAGGGTCTTCCGAATGACAGTTTTGTGTAACGTCGAGACTATATATTAAATGGACAGGTCGTCCTGATGCCGGGAAGACAATCGAATTAGTTCGTAGATAATATTATATACGTGTCTTTTTGCCCCTCGTCGGACGCGTGCGGTTATAACGAATGGAAAAAAATCGTGCGTTAATACGTATAATATCATTATAGGAACATACAATGTATATTACACATACACGGTAGGTATACGGTTTTACTCGTTTTAGACACATTGACGTATTATTATTATTATTATTCGGAAACCGTTGTGGATTTCCGATTGATACGTATATAATATAATTAATATACGTAGAGAAACGGAAACGTAAAAATTAAATTGTGTGTGTGAGTGTGTGTGTGTATACGTGCGTGTTTATATGTGTGAGAACGGGGGGGAGGGGGGGTGGCAACGAGACGATAATAATATTATTATTATTTTATTAGTTTTTGCGTCGGCCGGTAGGCGTCGCGCCTATACGTCGCCGTCGCGGTATGCGCCAGCCACGAGGGGTTGGACGGGACCGGCGGCGGCAACGAGACCGGCAATGCGGAGCGCGCGTTTTGTCGTCAGTGTTGTTTTCGTCCGTCGCGCTCGCCGGTACGCGCGCTGTCGTTTTCTTTTCTCGGTCTCTCCCGACGCCCGGAAAAATTACGTGCGTTTTTTTTTTTTAAATTTTTTTTTTTCGCGCGCGCGTCCGTCCGAACTGAACCGTCATTTCGGTATATTTCGCCCGATCTGCGTTTCCGTGTCCACGTGCACCGTACACATCTGTGTTTTGTATTGTATAAGCGCGTTCGTGTGTGCTGCCCCTCTTCAAGGCGATAGCCTCTGGATGGCCTCTCGTTAGCGGACGGCACCGCACGCGAATTTCGGGGCGCCCGAAAACGATCCGCGCGTACTGTAAGTGTTTTACGGGAACAACACCCTCGCGTTTCTATACATATATATTATATTATTTTTCCGCTCGTTTTGTACGTAGCAACGAACGCCTAAGGGGGGAAAAACCGAGCCCCCCTTCCCCCTTAGCCCCCTACGCGTACTCAGTGCCGTTCGTTTATAAATGTGACCGTCGCGTCGAAAAAGTCGAAACTTTTGCCGGCGACGCCGACGACGCGTCTGCGGCAGCGATCGCCGTCCACAATGATCCGGTGCCGACTGCAAGTGCTGTGGACGCTTTATCTGATCGTCTATAACGGTAAGGTGTATTTTTATTTATTTATTTTTTTTTTTTAATGCTTATATACTCAAAAGTCACGGGGGTCGGTTCGTATACGTGATTAAAGCCAGACGGCCCGGATTAAGGTTGTGGGGGCCCGGGGACCCGTATTAGTAATGAGGCGACCTATACTCTATTAAAACGGAACAAAAAGGTTCTCAAATATTTGATTCGACTCACACTATGGCGTAATTATGACTCCTATTTTTCATGGGTCCCAGGTCCCCCACCCCCTTTTTAATTATACCCGGATTAAAGGAGACACGGGGACTATGTCCCCGGAATCGTTTTGAAAACCACGAATTTCGTATAATTTTTAGAGCTGCGGTTTTCGACCTTTGTGTGAACACGCGCCCCGATTTTTGTTATTTTTTTTAGAGTTTAAATTTAACCGCGGGGAGGAGGGCTGTACAAATCCGTCTCACAGTGTTTTTATAATAATATGCATAATATATTATTAGAATGCAATGCAGTAGTAATGTATTATTTATTTATATATATATATATAAAATCCAAATACCACTGACTCGCTGATCGCTGTATCACAAAAACTACTCAACTGTACGCACATGAAATTTCGGAAAAGTGGTTTTTCTAATACTTTCACCGTGCAATAAGAAAGGACTTTTGG